AAAATACCCAGTATTAAAGGAAACTTTCTCAGCACGTGGAGGTATTATAAGAGAGAAGCATTAGAGATTCCTGCACCAGGGAAAAGTACTCAAAGATATGCCCACCCATATCTAAAAGTTTCAGACAACATACCTCTATGTCTCTTAGACCTTAAGCTAAAAATCTGTATCCCATAAAAACAAAAAACTCAGACAATATTTTTTTTCTTTATAAAATGAGCTGCAACACAACTTATTTTCCAAAACTGGAAGTTAGAGAGTTGCCAACATTAAAAATTTAGAAGATATGGTTTCAAGAAAGGCCAATATTGCTCCAAGTTTAAGTAATAATAAAACTCTTAAAATGATCGATATTGCCAGAATTTGTTATAATCTAGAAGCATGTGCATTTATATGTTTTCAAAAACATATTTTGTTAATGGCATCTTTGATTAAAGGAATCTGAATCACTAAAGCTGTGTTTCTTAACTGTGGCTCCCTATCCACTTTACATGCATACTCGTGTGAAAGTAAAAAAGACCTCTTGAGATCCTTTCGGCATTTTACTGGGGTCTTTAAGATGAAATTGTGACAAAGGGTAAAGAGTTCAGTGATTTTCTTTACCTTGCTAATATGTAGGTCATTCTTCAGGGGTATAAATAGAGATTACCTTCAAAGACTCTTTATTACCCTCAAGTGATACTTCAGACTGATGGATAGATAGTTCTGTCAATACAAATAACTCCCAAACGACTTCAAGAACTAGAGGTTATTTTTTTCTTTTTTTAAGGTTTTTTAGTTGGTTGGGTAGTTGGTTGGTTGGTGAGCTAAGGGTGATATAGGCAGAAGAAAAACAAGTTTTAAATGTGGGCTACAAGGATAAAATCCTTGAAATAGTGATAAGTATGTCCAAGAGGAAATGACTAAATACCTCCAATCTATTAAGATAAGGCTTATCAATACAAGAACACAATAGTAAGCTTTGATGTAAAAAAAAAATTTAAAAATCTAGTTGGATAATAGTGGGTTAATAATGTTCAGTGTTACATGAACTAAATCTTAACCTTAAATGGAATATAATTCACTATTTCTTGAAATGCTTTTTCATTTCTTCCCTCATTACTACTCCTAATAGAACTCGAGTAGACTCCCCAAAAGAATTTAATAAAATTTGATAAAAGAAAAAACTCAGAAAAATAAAACAAAAGCTGAGTCCAAACTGTAACTTTGACATGGAGTAAATTAAGGATATGCTAATCTCTAATAAAACAAGTGTAAAATTATTGGATAATCTCATCACATAGACTTGCAAGTATTGTCATATATACATTTTCCAGATATTAAAAAGCCATGATTTCATATATTCTGTCCCACTGTCAGATATATACCAGAGATATTGACAACTGTATTATTTTATTTAGTCCTTATTACCATTGAAAATAGGCAGAAAAATTATTATAATTCTCATTTTACAAACAAGAAGAGACTATATTTCAGAGATTTGTTCAGGATTATCTAACAAAGCCAAAAGTAGAACTTCAGACTTCTGGATATACTCCACCTTCTGTTGAATGGGGTTCTTTTATGCCTGTTTGGTAGCCTCCAAATTCACCACCAAGTAATTTAAGATGACCACAAACTCTGATTTGTAAGAGAAAGTTTATTAGTTAAAATCTGTTAAAACATATAACAATAAAATGATGTGATTCAATAGCTAATAAGGATTATATTCAATTGTAATCTAATAACTGGCAGTAATCATCACACATAAAGATGCAACTGTGTAATCACAACTTCCCACACACTTTAGCCAGAGCACACAGGGTAAAGATTTGTGCTTCCTAATTCATTGCCATCTACCAGCCTATCTCTCTTGGTTTTCCCATTTTTATATTTGTCTCAGAATGATGAGCCTGTCTCCCTCCCTATCCCTCCATGCCATGCAAGGATTGGCTTTTGCATTGGTCTCAAAAGAAGGTCCAGGAAAGGGCTGGTTTGGATAAAGGACCAGCCACTCTCTCCATTCTCCAGGAAAAGAGATGCAGGATTCCAATCAGAGGTATCCAATCAGTGGACCGCCAAGTTAGTTAATATATCTCTTTCTAACTAGGCTTTTAAGTGCACAATTTATGTCAATTGACAACCAGCTATTTCTATCAGTATCAACAACCTAGTGTTAGCTAATTTTCATGTGATAAAAACAGGGCTAGGTTCATAAACCTGCTCAGAAACTAACTATGCCATGGTTTTCCACCATAACAGCTACATAACTCAATTATATATCTTCTCTCTCCAGAAAACACCTTCCCTACTACCTCTAGTTCCTAAGTATTTTCTTATTTCATACATTTTTTTCTTATCACTATTAACTCTATTTCCAATTCTGTTCCACAGAACAAACATATTTAATACAACAATCTATTGCTTGGAGCAGGGTTACATCTTAACAATTCTTAAACACATATAATCACACAATCAAAGCAAACATTGAAATATATTTTATCTAATCCTAAAGTGCCATTACAGTACAATCTTCCCACATGACCCATTTAGCCAAGCAGGTAGCCAGCTTCACATATTACAAAGTTGTAGCATCTTCCTGCTTTGATACCTAAGGACTATGTTGACCATTAGTTGTTCTATAGGCTGGTTCAAGCTTTATCTTGTTTGAAGGTCTGGAGTAGTCTCACATATTCCTCTTGGTGTATTTCGATGACCTGCTTAAGTTAGCATGGCTGCTTGTATTCTCTCATTAACACTAACAATTTTAACAAGCTTACACTAAACTGTAGTAGAATTGTTATAAAGTTCTACTTGGAGTAATAGCTACCCTTCAGAATCTATAATTTTTGAGGAACACCAGATCTGTCCATTTACAGTTAAATTGCTCACTAAATAGAATTTGTAGCAAACTTATGGTCTCTCCCTGGATATGTTTCCTGATCTTACCCAAGTATTCATGCTTTGAGTTTTATTTTGACACACAATTATAGCCTAATTTCCTAAAGTCCAAATTCCTAGTGGAGGGTTTACATCTTTCCTAGCTGTTTCTAAACCTTTAATTAAAGCATACAAGGTATTATGCTAAGTGAAATAAGTCAGACAGAGAAATACAAATACCGTATGATTTCACTTACATATGGAATCTTAAAGAACAACAAATGAACAAAACAAGACTCATAGAAACAGAAAACTGTTGCCATTTTGGACAGGCTCAGTTTGGTCAGTTATTACATCAGCAAAGTCCCTCAAGCTGCTGTGTAGTATGGCCTGTAATTATCCACAGTAATTGCTTGATGATATAACTTTTATTTCTCCTCTTTGTGTCTTTGTACACCCCCTCTAAGTCTCCTGTATCCTTATCTACTCTATCAGTCTTTCCACATAGAAGTCTATTGTGGAGCTTTCTCATACTAATATGTTTGAGTAACTCCATAGTTCTGACTTTTCAAAAGGGTCTGTGGTAGCTTTTCTTGATACAGCAATCTCTGTCTTAAATTTGTTAAATAAACATATCCTGAAATTCAGTGGCAAAACTGACTTATGCTTCTCCTGCTACTGCCCATCCTAATAAAACCTAGCTATATAGTGTATAATTTCTCCCATTTACCTTTAAAGGTAGCTAATTATCTGTGTATGCAGACCTCAGTATTAGATACAGCATCTGTCATGTTGATTAGCTCTGAAGTTATCTATATTAAATATTTTAATTCCTTTGACTAAAATATGCTTTAGGACTCTATATGAATTGGTACAGTCTGGTTTCCACCAGTGTGGATTGACTTTTACGAGTCATTTCTACACAATTTGCATATAGCACTTTGTTGAATGGCACACTTTTATGTCTTTATCTAGTTGTTGCTTGTGTCGCATGATGAAAAGGCTGTTCTCCAGGAAGGAGGACCATAGTGTCCATGGGGTTGTCTGAAGGGTAGCTATTCTTCCAAATGGCATGGAATTAGTACCATCAGTGAATTTCCTGCATATTTATTTGGCCCCTTTCTGTTTTGATATGGGGGTCCTCTAAACATTACGTTTTCCCCTTCTGGTATCTATAGAATTATTGTGGCTAAATACCAGTTCACACTTGTTTACATTCATATTGTTTACATCTCTCAATAGTTAAGATTTCTATATCAAAGCTGCAGCAGGTTCACTATAATAAGTCTATTAGATCTTCTTTATAAATTTAGTTATACCAAATTAGATATACTTTATCCACTTCTACTTGTGAACCATAATCTCTAAGCCTATACTGTGAGTGTTTTGACTTTCCAGTGGTGAATAGTCCTTGTAGGGCTTTATCTAGCCCTTCTAGTACTAGTACTTCTCTCTTGCTATTTGGTATAATTTGCCATTTCCATTTGGGGCAGAATACTGCAGAGTAGTTACAATGTGGGTCAGCATTTCAGTAAACTGTCCTGCATTGGAAACTCCTGGCCTCAGCTTTTTCAAAGGTTTCTCCCTGGCCAAAGTTATCTGAAAAACTTTTTGCAGTTTTATTATCTGGTATATGCTGCCTTTTCAGAATTATTTCCCCTAGTCTGCTATGGCATACTTTTGTTGAAATATTCCATCCTAAAGGCCTAGTATGGGGGCCTTTTAAGTAAGGAGTTATATCTTCTTAAGTATAAGTGTCCCAATATTGTCCTGTCAATGTAAATGTATTCGCTATAAAGCCATCCTGGGGGATATGCCTCTCTTAGTTTCCATTCATTGTAGAACACTGAAATTGGGTCTCAAGATGTAATACAGTTCATCAGGTCTTCACTCCAGTGTTAGGTGAGTTTTCTTTTCTTTGCTATTGTTTGCTCCTGTTATCAGGAATCCTAGCAGGACAAGTACAAGTAAAGAAAGAATCGTATGGCTAAAGCCAGAGCTTTTAAAATAAATACAAAGGAGAAAAGAGCCTCTGCTGGAAGTAAATCAAATATTACTTGTTCTATGAGATATTAGTAATGAAAATGCACAGAACTAGGAGAAAATTCATACTGCTAATATTCAGAAACATCAGAAAATATTTGAAACAGGAACTAGGAGAAAATTCATATCGCTAGTATTCAGAAACATCAGAAAATATTTGAAACAGAGGAACTAGGAGAAAACTCATATTGCTAATATTCAGAAACATCAGAAAATATTTGAAACAGAGAAACAATCAGTTCTCACATACTGGTAGAGGCAAATTAGGTCTTATCCACTTAAGTCATCGTTTATACTGGAGAGTACATCTTCATATAAGTTTTCTGTATCTAACATAGCTTGATCTATATCAAACATTAGGTCTTCATCTTCTCTTGGTGTAAGTATTGATTCTAAATCTGAGAGATCAGGGAGGTCTGGTAGTGAAGCTTCCTCAGAAGAAGGTGGATTTGCTGCTGCCTGTTCTGCTGTATGATTTTGCTCCACAAAAGGAACTTGTTCTTGTGAAATTAACTGTAAGATCTCTTCAGCTATTTTTATTAACTGGGCTACACAATCAACAAGCCCACCAACTAGTGCAGGGACTGACACAGCCTCCATGCTTCAATGCTCTCCTCAGTAGATAAAATATGACTAAAAGCTGTAGCAAGTGGGCTCTTGGTGACAATGGATCTTGTGGGGCTGGCAATGGTTCTGTGGTTGGTTGGTCAAGAAACTGGGGTGGTGATATGATTATGATGATGATCAAATACAGAATGAGGCCAGTGGTCCTATAACACTTTTTGATAAAGTTGATGAACCTCCCACAAAATTTATGTGTGGTACTCTTGTTTGTACTGGTAGTCAACTGCTATTATGACCATCAGACATATTGTCACAGCCAAGAGAAAACAGCAAAGTAGATCTAATAATAGAAAAGAGAAATATAAAGATTAGTATCCTTGAGCCTTCATCCAACATACAGGTTCTGGCTATAGGATTAAGTTGAAAGGGTATCCCTAGATATACCTCCTCCTTTTCCGTTGACCTTATGAGGATCTACTACTCATACTCTCCTTTAAATCTGTCATCATCTTTATCTCTTCTTAGAAGATTTTAGAACAAAGTGTGCATATGTAGTTCATCTATCTTTCTTGAATATCTCTATTAAGGAAGATACATTCACCCAGTCCTTCGTTTAACTCTGTCTTTATGAGCGCCTTTGCTTCATTGCCTTTTATATATGGTGCTCCTAAATTCTTCCTGTGTTTTTAATAATCCATTCATTAAAGTTTCTAATTGTCTCTGTAGCCTAGAGAATTTATAGTAAATGATAGTCCTACTTTCTCTGTCTTTTGACAAATTTTGGGCAACTTCTGTTATAAAATTAGTTCCCTGATTATTTCCTGTTACTGCCAATCCAAATCTAGCATAGAGTTCCTTTTGTCTAAAGCAATGGTCATACTACTCTCATCTGCATGTCTGATGTGCTTTGCAAAATTTTGTCTAAATCAATGGTCATACTACTCTCATCTGCATGTCTGATGTGCTTTGCAAACCCCTTTCTAAGTAAGTTTATATTTCTATAAGGCAATATTATTTTTTTTAAAAATCTAGGGATTGGCCCAATATAACCTACCTGTCATATTTGTCTCGTTAACCACCTCTGACTCCCCTTAAAAATGAGTTATATATAGGGGTTTCTGGTCAAGAGGGTAGAGTAAGTAAACACTGTGCTTGCCTCCTCTCATGACCACATCAAAATTACAACTAAAACAGCCATCATTGAGAATCACCTGAAATCTAGTTGAACAGAAGTCCTACAACTGGGGACACACAGAAGAGGCCACCTTGAGACTGGTAGGAGGGGTGGAGACGTGGAATAGGCTGGTCCCACACCCACGTGTGGCGGTGTTGAATCAGGAGGGATATCTCAGCTGCAGAGGTACCCCCGGAGAAGTGAGAGGTCCCAGCCCAGACTGGGCTCCCCAGTCCAAGGTTTCAGTGCCAGGAAGAGAAGTCCCCACAACTTCTAGCTGTGAAAACCAACAGAGATTGTAGCTGAGTGAGATGGAGGGCCACTACAGGCACAAACATTCCTCTTAAGGGGCACATGCATGAACTCGCTGATAGACTCACTTGCTCTGAGCTCCAGCACTGGGGCAGCAGATGAAAGGCACCAGAGACATACAGGGAGGAACTGAGTTGTCTGGCTTCAAGGCAAGGGCTAGAGGGGCAGCTTTATCCCAGACAGAAGTACTGGCAGAGGGCACTGTCCCCTTGTTGAGCACTCTTCTCTCTCGGCATGCAGACACAGGCAGCCACCACAGCTGAGTCTCTCTCAAATTGGCTAACATTGGTCACTCTGCTCTGGTGACTCCCTGAGACCCCGCCTCACCCAAATTGCAGGCTGGGCCAAGCCATTTCCAGTGGTTTTTCATACAAATGGCCTCTCTTGGCTTATGCTATGGACTTTCCTAAAATCTTTCAAAATTTCAAAAAATTTAAACATGGAACATCTGGACTCAGCATGCCTTGTACCTCTTGTTGGGCAGCACCAAGGCCAGCACTAGCGGCAGCCAGCCTCAGGTTGTGGCTTAGCCTCTCGAGGCACATCCAAGCCTAGTGTGGGTAGCAACCATTTACAGGTTGGTGGCTCATGCCAGGTGGCAACTAGGAAGCCCTGCCTGCATGCCTGGTGACCAGCTTCGGTCTGAGCTAGAGCACCACCCAAGGCCACATCAAAGGACAACACACCCAAAGGGCAGACTGGACAGGCACCAGAGCCCTGCTAAAGCAAATGTGACCCATAGGGTAAGCCCCTGCACAGCAGCTCCTCTACTATAGTCACAACCAGTCTTCACAACCAATCAATCTGAGGGTGAGTCTCTCCCACTGATGTACAAACAGCAACCAAGGCTCAACCAAAACAGGAAGGCATACACGAGCTACACATGGGACACACGTGGAGCACCAGCTCAGGTACCCAGAGAGACTGTACCACTGGGCCCCACAGAACAGCAACTACATAAGACCAGGAGACATAGCAGCCCTACCTAGTACACAGAAACAAACAAGGGAAGCAGCCAAAAGAGGGAAACAAAAAAATGTCCCAAATGAAAGAAAAAAACAAAGCTCCAGAAAAAGAACTAAACAAAATGAAGGCAAATAATTTACCAGAGGCAGAGTTCAAAACACTGATTATAATGATGCTCAGTGAACTTAGGTGAAGAGTAGAAAAACTCTGGAAGAACTTTAACAAAGAGACAGAAAATATGAAAATGGGATAGTAAACAGAATAAAGAACCGGTCAGAATGAAGACTATAGAGCTTTAGAAAAACGGTGAAGTGAGAGACGTCCCTATATCTCTCCCCTTGAAACAACGATAAGCTGAACATCTAAAACTGAACAAAAAAAAAAAACAAAAAAAAAAACACCCAAACTGCACACCAGCATGTCTGAGCGTGGGATCTGCGCATAAGAGCTATCATAGGTCATAACCCTGGGTGTCAGTCAGTGGACTGGGAGAAATAAAGATGCTGCCTCTCACAGCCACCGGAGCTCCCTGGAGGAGGGAGGCGGGGATGGGAGAAGGAGCAGTGAGTTCGGGCGGCGAGTTCCCTGGGAAAGTTGTGAGCTCTCCATGGCTGGCTGGTTGCAGGGCCCAGTCATCAGAGCAGAAATCAGAGAAGCAGCCAGCATAAAAGTAACAGTTAATTTTTATGGACTGCAAGTGCAAAACTGAGACTGAACTGCAGCCCCTAACCCCCAACCTAGAGGGACTCTCCCCCCATACCCTCTGAGACCGAATACCGCAGAGCCCCAGGAGAATCTGGGCAAATGCTGCCAAGACTGTTCCTAACACTGACAGGGATTGACACTGAAGGTAAGGACCATGATTAAATATCTATCAGAAAATAAAAAGGCATTTTTAAAGCAGAGATCCAAGAGGCTTGACGCCACCTATTGGAAACCAAAACAAAAGTGCCTACATTGCAGCAGGCTAAAGAGAGACCTTTAAATAATAAATCTTCTTTGTCGAAAAAAAGCAGAATACATTTCCATTAATGCCCAGGCGGAGAAACAGTCCATTAAACACCATGAACAACCAAGGTGATGAGGCATTTCAGAAATAAAAAGAAAAATCTCCAGAAAAGAAGCTTACAGACATAGAAATATGTGACTTAAATGACAGAGAATTCAGGATGGTACTTCTGAAAAATAGTCAGTGAGTTCCAAATTGAGTCATATTGACAATTTCAGAAATTGACAAAACAACTAGATGGGCAGAGCAAGGAGACTGAAACCCTCAAAAAGAACAGAATAGATCTTCTAGAGATTAAAAAAAACTGCAAGATTTGAAAAATGAAATAGCAAGCTTGGGAAATAGAGTCAACAAAATGGAGGAAAGGATCAGTGATGTCTAGACAGAAATCTAGAAATAAATCAGAAGGAAGAAGAGAAAAGCTGCAGAATGAAAAATAATGAAAGAGAAATTCAAGAACTAGCTGATACCTAGTTCCTTTCTAATCCCTGTTCCTTTTTCCTTGCCTTCGATAATGCCCATTATTCTTATGTTTCTTCATCAGGAGAAAAACATAAGAATAATGAGCATTATCGAAGGTGAAGAAAAAGACCAGGACTAGAATGAATTTTCAAACAAATAGTTGACGAGAATTTCCCAAAGCTAAGGAATGAGCTGGAGCTTGGAATTCAAGAAGTCAATAGAACACCCGATTATCTCAACCCAAAAAGGCCTTCACCAAGACCCATTGTATTAAAATTATCAAAAATCAACGAAA